CACTTGCCTGTCCTGACCGCCAGCCCCTGGCCTGACCGCCAGCCCCTCTCCTGACCGCCTGCCCCTGGCCTGACCGCCTGCCCCTGGCCTGACCGCCAGCCCCTGTCCTGACCGCCTGCCCCTGGCCTGACCTCCTGCCCCGCCCGCCTCACCCGGTGCTCCTTGATCCAGCGCTCCATGTCGTTCTCGGTCAGGTAATAGGCTTTGATGTAGGTCTCCACAAACTCCTTGTCAGGGATGGGCCTGATGTCCGTCAGCTTCTCCAGCTTCATGAGGAACTGCTGGAAATCCAGCTGCATCAAGGCCCGGCCCTCGTTGCTGCACTTTTTCACATTGGCATAGCTGTGGAACAAAACAGACGCGAGTCGGTGGCGGAAGAGGGGACGGAAGGAGGGGGAGGCATGGGTAGGGGGAATTGGGGAGGGAGAGGGATGGGGGGGAGGGAGTGGGGGGAGTTGGGGAGGGGAGAAGAGAGAGGGAGGTGGGGGGAGGGAGCAGTGCCCTATGACCCCACCCCCTCTGCCAGAGTTGGCAGTGACCCCTGCAGACTCCTGAGCCTCAGCCTGGCCTCTGCCCTGGGGGTGGCAGCAATATCTCAGGGGCAGTCCCTCTGCTCCTAACACATTTCTGGGGAGCCCCCTTGGGAGCCAGGCAAGGTGACTTTTTTCTAAGTTTCCCCACGGGCTTGTGATCCTGGTGTGGGCCCCCCCTCCGCCAGAGCAGATCACAGCCCTTAGTCTCCTGTACACTTGCCCATGGGGTCCCTCCACCACCACCAGGTCTCTCATGGGAAGAGCACAAGGAATTGGGGTTTCTTCTGCCCGACTGGTGCCATTATACCGCACGACTGTCCCCTAAGATGAGACGCAATCCCTGTGGCTGGACTGAACCTTGCCTAAGGGGCAAAGCTTTCCAAGCTCCGAGTGCACTGAGACTTTTGGGACACCCCGCCCCCACCCCCTCTCAAGGAGCTGTGCACAGAACAAGGTCTGAGATTCAACACTTCACAGACAAGGTCAGTGACAAAGGCAGCCGCCAAAGCCAGAGCCTGGGGGGTGAGGCGCCAATGCTCTGGTGGGGAGGGGCTCTGGGGCCCCTACCCCAGGAGGGAGCGCGCTGCTCAGCCCCCATCGGTCAATCTGCTCCTCCATCCCCTAAAGCTACGTGGGACAACGCAGGACCCACTGACGGGGCCCTCTCGCTCACCCCTCCACGATCGTCCTGTTGGCCAGACGGATGCAGTGCTCCCACAGGATATTGGACACGGGTAGGGGGATCCGAACCCTCTTCGATACCTCGGTCAGCCGCCTGTTAAACTGCTCGAACTCCTAATGAGACAACAAAGGGCCGCACTGGAGCTCAAGGAGTAAAGTGGGAGGCCGCGGGAGGCTGCAGGAGGCCGAGGGGGGGTCAGAGGGAGGCCATGGAAGGCTGAGGGAGGCCACGGGAGGCAGAGGGAGGCTGCGGGAGGCCAAAGAAGGCTTTGGGGGTCGGCCTTCAGTGACCCTGGACAGCCCGACAGCCCAATGGCCTTCAGCTCTTCCCGACTTCTGTCCCTGAGGCAGGGTCCTGCCCTGTCTGACAAGGCAGACTGGTCTAGTACACCAGGGAGCAGAGCGGGCCCATCACAACAGAGAGCAGAGAAATCCCCGGCCGGCTACTTCCTATCCCGAGGACCCGGGAGCAGAGAGCTCTGGGGCTGTCTCTGGAGCGTCAGCATTCCAGGGCTTTGTCTGGCACCAAAGACAGGCTGCCCGGGCCACCCTGGCCTGCCCTCCCCCAGCCCCCGGCCCTCCAGGGCTGCCCAAGCAGGCCCGACCTCCATCATCCCCACCCCTCTTCCGGACACTGTGGCTGGAGAGCCGCTGGAGGGCCGAGGGGAGCGCCGCAGCCCCCTCCCTTCTGGGTCAGACTCCTCAGAGCCAAGAGCAGCCCAACAGACAGTGAGAGACCCTGGCCAGGCCCTGGGGACTGACCCCATGGGAGGGTGGGAGGGAGGGGAGGGACGGAAGAGGGACACCCAAGCACTGACCAAGCACTGTCCAGGCACCAGACTCCCACTCACACACATGCCCAGCCCCTGGGGCAGTCCCAGGCACCAGCAGATACCGGGTCCGTGGTGAGGGGCAGCTGGTCTGGCCAGCCACAGACAAAAAGCGCATTTAGGGTCAGGGCTCTGAGGAAATCAGACTTTTCTCCCGCCCCCCAAAACAAGGCAAACTTTGGCATGCCCTTCCCCCAGGCCCCGGACTTCCTTCCCCAGGGGTCGCTGGGGGTCTTCCTTCCCCCTCCTCACAGCGGCCTCGGGTGTTCTAAGCTCTAACCCTAACTTCGCTCTGGCTCCGTCAGAAGGGTGTCCCCCCTGGCCAGCTCCAAAATGACCGTCCCGGCTCTGAGCCCTATCTCTGGACACGCCCGGCCCGGCCATTGGGAGCCCTCTCCCCAAGTGCTCACCTTCAGCAAAGTGTCCACGTAGACGTTGTGCTGGGACATAATCTCTCTCACGTCCCACTTGACGCTAGTCATCAGAAGCAGCATCTGCTCATAGTCAATCGCCTTCCCCGCCACAATCCAGTAGATGGGCTTGCGCAGCTCGCTGGCGGTGGACACCGTCTAAAACCAAGCTCCCAGAAATGAGAAGGGCTCAGTAAGCGCCCAGACACGCAGCGTCACCCCAGGGAGCTGGAGGCCCTTCCTCTGGGCAGCACGGCCTTTAGGGTTAGGTCTGCTCGCAGCTGGGAGGGGCAGACCCACCCTGCTGCCACTGCCGAGGCTCTCTCATTCTCCACCCCGTGAGGGTCGGACCATGTCCTCTGGGGTCCCCAGGTGGACCGCCAGGACACCCTGGACTCAAGCCCTCATGTTTTTACTTAGAGAGAAGGGTGAGTCTGGGATCCTGATGCCCCTCCCCCAGACAAGGGGTGGGGAGCACACATCCCCCTGCCAGGGCAGAGCCTCTCACCTGAGAGTAAAACTGCTGCAGGAAGGGCTTCTTCACGGCAGGCATCACGGCGTCCAGGTGCGGCTGCAGGAACTCAAACTGCTCAGCCAGGAAGACCCTGGGGAGGGGGAGGGGGATGGGGGGGAGGAGGAGAAGGGAGGGGGAAAGGGGGGGAGGAGGAGGGAGGGAGGAGGGAG